TTCAACCTTTATTTAGACAGATAAATCCCATTGAGCCTTGAGGACTCATTTACAAGACAGACCTGATAGAGACCTGATTTGACCATATGGAAAAAAAAAAAAAAACAAAGTTACAAAAATGTGTGCAGTTATAAATGCACAAAAAAAACTAACTGTTTTGTTTTTGTTAAAATTAATACTATTTTTTAAATAAAAAAATTAACATTTTTTTACCACAAAAATTCTTGAATTGAGCAGCTAAATTTAACTTGTAATGCACTGTGAAATATTTTGCGTTCTCGAAGCACAACAATTTAGTGATCCAGTCCTAAGACAAATGATTACATATCCTTTCTTGAATTTGGCAGAGAACATGTGGAGCAACTACCTACAGAAAGGGGAGATTTTAGAGAAGGCAGGTCTGCAGTCTGTCAACGCTCACAGTGCCATGGACAACTTCATCAACTATGTGTCAGCAGACATTACTACATCCTTCACACTTCTGGTTGGAATCTTCTTTCCATCTGCAACAGGCAAGATATACAAAATAATATTTTATCAAACCAACATCCGTGTATTTTAAATGAACATTGTTTACACTATAAACATTGGACAATTGTTAAAGACATCACAAAGGTGTGATTCATATACAGTATATATATATATATTTTTTTTTTTTTTTTGTGGCGTTTCCTCAACCTATGTATAATCCAACAAGTAGGAGGTGTTGTTTGACATTATTTTGACCATGCTTTGGTAATGGGTTCTCCTTCTGCAGGAATTATGGCAGGTTCCAATAGATCTGGTGATCTCAGGGATGCTCAGAAGTCCATTCCCGTGGGAACAATCTTGGCTATTACCACAACTTCCATTGTTTGTATCCTACCTCCCTAACTAGAGTTCAAAATGTATTTTTTTTTTTCATGTAGATGATTAATTCACATTATTGTCATCTTCAGCTCCTTAATCACTTATGTTCAGATATAACCTCTGTAGTTTTGTTTGGGTCTTGTATTGAAGGAGTAGTCCTGAGAGACAAGTAAGTTTGTGCACATCCTGATGTATCCTTTATATTTCCTGTGGATGTTCTTTCATAAATTAGGAGTAAAGCAGAGATCCTCTGATTAATAAACATGATTGTACTGAATCAGCACTTTGTTGCAGGTTTGGTGACGCCGTTCAGAAGAACCTGGTTGTTGGTACTCTGTCATGGCCTTCTCCATGGGTCATTGTGATTGGATCCTTTTTCTCCACTGTTGGCGCAGGCCTGCAATCCCTCACTGGTGCTCCACGACTTCTTCAGGCCATTGCAAAAGACAACATTATTCCCTTCCTTAGGGTAGGGCAGCTCAACTTCATTGATTTTTCCACTGTACATTTTGTAAAAAAATTAAAAAAACAAGATATAATAGTTTTTAAATAGATCATGCTGCCAATATTTGCTTTGGCAAAACTTTATTTGTAAATGTATTTTAAAAACTTTGAAAAAGGGGCAGATATAATAAGATTTTTTCTTCTTCTGCTGCCTTTCATTTTAAATCTCTTGTATATTTTTATATTGTTATGGAATTGTTTTGTATTTTTTAAAATGAATAAACTTTATACCATACCATACCATATTTTAATATGTTAAAGATGCAAACAAGAAGTCATTTGCATTGGTGTGTACAAAGCTGTTGAATTTTCATTGTAGGTGTTTGGTCATGGAAAAACAAATGGCGAGCCGACATGGGCGCTTCTACTGACTGGCCTCATAGCTGAACTGGGGATTCTTATTGCCTCATTGGACATGGTGGCACCCATTCTTTCCATGTAAGTTCAGAACACAGACCATGTGTCCACACTCTAATGATACAAGCAGCACTGGATACTCCTACATTCCACAAGCAGGCCCATTCAAATTTTTTTAATCTACATTGTTTAATTGATGCGTGCAGCAGATGTGTTTCTAATGGATTCCCTGCTGTTTGAACCAGTTTAAATATATGTGTTTTTTCTTGTTGTTGCTCTTTTTTATTTTTCAACAGGTTCTTCTTGATGTGCTATCTTTTTGTAAATCTAGCCTGTGCAGTCCAAACTCTTTTAAGGACGCCTAACTGGAGGCCGAGGTTCAAATATTATCATTGGTGGGTAAAACTAATGTTATGGTTTTTTTGTTGCATTTTACTTATGTCTTTGGAACTTTTACATTGTTCAACACAACAAGAAATTGTGTCATACCCTCAGAGTGAAAAACTGATAAAAGCTACTATGCCATGTTTTGGTCAGCAGTGCATCACCATTTATTCAATCTAGCTGTTTGAGGTCTGCAGTTGTAAAAAAAATAAAACTTTCTGTGTTGCACCTACAGGGCTTTATCATTCCTTGGCATGAGCATGTGTCTGGCTCTGATGTTCATTTCCTCCTGGTACTATGCCATAGTGGCCATGGGCATTGCAGGGATGATCTACAAATACATTGAATACCAAGGGTATGTATGGTTTCACTACAATAAATCTCATTAGGTTTGTTGTCGGAGTGGATGAGTCCTACTGTAGCTGCTGCATATGCAATATTTAATGCTCATTTAACTTTCCTTGTGTTTCACTCACAAACAAAATCAGGGCTGAGAAGGAGTGGGGAGACGGGATAAGGGGATTATCGCTCAGTGCTGCACGCTACGCTCTGCTGAGGCTAGAAGCTGGACCCCCTCACACCAAGAACTGGAGGTAAAACCAACCAAGAGTGGGGTTCTTTAAGTATTTCCTCACAAATTCAGCTATTTAAGGGCTCATTTTTAAATGTGCAGATGAGGAAAATTAAAAAAAAAAATCACTACAATTGTTTTCAGCAAAGGAAAATACATTTGCCTAGCATCACACATTTGACTTCTGACTGTATAATTTTAGCTCGACACATCAAGGATAATACCTTTCAGCATGAACAGTATGGCGTTTTCATTAAGGGCTTTTATCTGCAGGAACCACACAATACACAGGAGTCGTGTGGAAAGTTCATATGCAAAACTTGTATGATGTTGTGGAGAGTGGTGTTTCTTTATAAACTGAATGGCAACTTGTTCCAGGAAGTTAGAATGCCAAATATAGTACACCACACACATATGGTTCCCTGCATCAAAAACACATCAGCTATGGTAATTGACTCTTTTTTTTCCCCTAATGCAGAGCAAAGAACATATAAGTAGCAATATACTTACACAATATAAAAATGTGACAACATAGGTAACAATGCTTTGATTGAAACTGAGGAAAACTTATTTGGCATGTCACAATTATTTAGAAGTTTTGGGCCACATACAAAGTCAAGGAAGATTATGTATTAGCCAACAAGTGATCAAATAAAGGCTAAAATATTAGTTTAAAGTATGTTGGAAAATTTAAACAAAATCTATCATGATGTACAATAGAAATGTGGAACTTGATAAACTTGAAAAGAGCTAAAACTTAACAATAATTGCTGATGAAACTTCATGCTGTGTGTAACCTCTAAAAGGAGGGGGATGTACAGGTATGGATGCCTTAACAATCCATCCCATCATTCTTACCCACTGATGGTGTCATGTCTTGTTTGTGTTAGCAGCATTCCTGTATAGTACATTCAAAGTGATGGATTTTAAACATATTTGAATAGCAAATGTTTTATTTCTATTTGATCAGTATTTAGGGATGTCACAAGTTGGAACAAGGACCTACAGTTTACTTTGACTTGCCTTATGGATGATGATTTGTGCTCTGCAGACCGCAGTTGTTGGTGCTGCTGAAACTTGATGAGGACCTTCATGTAAAATACCCGCGACTGCTGACCTTTGCTTCCCAGCTAAAGGCAGGAAAGGGTCTGACCATCGTTGGTTCTGCCATCCAGGGGAACTTCCTGGACAGCTATGGGGAAATGCAAGCAGCGGAACAGGTATTTACTGGAAGGTTGTTTATGATAAGATTAGATTAATATTAGATTATTACTGTTTATTCTATATTTGTCTTTCTTGTGAAACACTGCTTGCTGTGTTGGAGCTGATAGGAACTTGTAAACATAAAAGGAGAAAACACGTTTTAGTGTTTTAAAAAATATATACATATTATTATTATTAGCACATTCCTGTCACATGTATTTAATTTATATAAAATGTGATTTTCTTGCTTAGGTGACAATAACAGAGTCAAGGAATCTCTCATGCTGGGTTTTTTTAGTGTTGAGGCAAGTCATAATTTGTGCTCTACAGGAAAATAGTAGAGATGCACCGATCCAATACCAATGTCGATATCGGTCCCGATATTGAAAAAAAAACTTCTGGATTGGGTATTGTGACAATGTGACTGATTCAAGACTGGGCAGATCTATTCACTCTAATTCTATGTTTTGTGCTCTGAGTGACGTCACGCACTAGCAAACTCACCGCACAGATTGTTTTCAAAATGGAGCGAGAAAGTATCAGCCATCTGGAACTATTTCACCCTACCTCACCCAACACATTCGACATCTACATGCAATACGTGCACAGCGACGGTTCTGGGGGGGTGTCACTAAAACTTCCAGTTATAACACTACCAAGTTAATCACGCATCTCCAGAGATTTGACCCTAAAGAGCACGCTGAGTTTGTTGAACGGAATTCAGCACAGTTTTTCTGTATCGGGTCGGTATCGGATCAGTATCAACCTATGGTAAACCTCAAGTATCAGTATCAGAAGTGGAAAAAGTGGATCGGTGAATCCCTAGTTTCTAGTACAAAATGTTTGAAGGTATATCACCAGTTCATGTTTACATGATTACATTTTCTAAATGTTAATATCTGACCATTTTGGTAAATAAAAAAAGCACGTTCTTTTTGTTTCCATAATGATATATGTGGTTTGGCTTTTTCATAAGTATCATAAAGATAAACAAATTGGTTCAGGTTGCCCACAATTGTGCTTACAGGCTATTAAGAACATGATGGAGATTGAGCGGGTCAAAGGTTTCTGCCAAGTTGTCGTTGCAACTAAAGTGCGAGAGGGCATCGTCCATCTCATCCAGTCCTGCGGTCTGGGGGGGATGAAACACAACACTGTGGTAATGGGCTGGCCGTATGGCTGGAGACAGAGTGAAGACCCTCGAGCCTGGAAAACTTTCATTAGTAAGTGTTTTAATGGCATACTGACTACACATCGTAGTCATTAAACAGTGTAATTGGACGTTGCTGTACATTGGCTTTAACATTTTAAATTATGTTGTGATTCTTGGAGGAAAACAATATTCATGTGTTGCTCACACACCATATTACAATATTTTTGTGACTGATGTGTAATAACTCCAAACTGTCTGTAGTTGAATTCTCAACAGTCTGCATCCCCTCACATGCAGCCGGGGTGTTCAAGTATGCAAATAACTCAACCAGTGTGCTGTCATCTTTGCCCAGACACAGTTCGCTGCACCACAGCTGCCCACCTGGCCCTGATGGTCCCCAAAAATGTGTCCTTTTACCCAAGCAACCATGAACGCTTCACAGATGGCAACATCGACGTGTGGTGGATTGTCCACGATGGAGGAATGCTGATGCTGCTCCCGTTCCTGCTCAAACAGCACAAGGTGAATGAACAAAAGCTTATATGACATTGACAAAAATTGTAGTTTTTTTGTGATTTTACATATTTTTTAAAAGGACATGAACATCTTTTTTTTTTTTAATAACGAGGTTCATAATATTCTGCAAATTTCCTTTGAGAGTTTTTGCTGTCTATTGTTTTCATTTCATGACAAACTTTTGCAAGTGATTTATGCCCAGTATGCAACAATTTACAGCAAAACGCTGCCAACACCACAAGATTTTTGCGTTTTAGGTCTGGAAGAAATGCAAGATGCGCATCTTCACTGTGGCCCAGATGGATGACAACAGCATCCAGATGAAGAAGGATCTAGCCACGTTCCTGTACCAGCTGAGAATAGAGGCTGAGGTGGAGGTGGTGGAGATGGTGAGGGTTCTCCTTACACAACCGTGAAAGAATGTAGACCAATAAAAGGGGCTATTTAATCCAGTACTTTAGATCATTTTGGCTTGATAATGAGCATTTGAACTAAAACCAAATGTTCTTGACACTAAAGCAAACATGTTTTTTTTTTTTTTTTTAAATCAAGATTCCTGGAAGCAATCCTGCATAAAGTAAATAGATAAATGAAAATAGCTGAGAACCAAAAAATAAGCAACACTAAAATTAAAATGTTACAGAATAAAAAAAAAAAAGATTGGGGCGACCGTTTTGATGTGTTCAATCTGGGTCAGACATTGTCACAATGTTTATCAAATGGGATTTCAGCACGACAGTGATATCTCAGCATATACCTACGAGAGAACGTTGATGATGGAGCAGAGATCCCAGATGTTACGGCAAATGAGGCTGTCCAGTGCAGAAAGACAAAGAGAGGTACACTGAATTTATCTCACATTATTTGTATATAATTCAGATTTATGACCCAAAATGAAAAGGCAAATTGATATACTTTCAGAACCTATACAGTCCTTTCACTGCATGGATTCAGTATTGGCATGCATACTGCATTTCAGCCTGACCCTGTAACATTGTGATGGTTCCTTCAGGCTCAGCTGGTTAAAGACAGACACTCGTTGGTGCGTATGGGCAGTCTTTACTCAGACGAGGAGGAGGAGTTGTTGGATATTCCTCAAGGGAAGGTTCAGATGACATGGACCAGGGAAAAGGCTGAGGCTGAAAGTCGAAACAGAAACAATGCTCCTGAGAACTTCAGAGAACTGATGAGCCTCAAACCGTGAGTAAAACTCAATGTCTTCTTCGCCTCAAATCTTTCGCTTCAACTTTTTTATGTCCTGTTGCAAAGAGGGAGGAACTGGAATTACCCTCTGTCTGCCCGTCCATCTGCCCATGCATGTTTTGAGCAAGATAACTTTGAAAAATAAGTTAGGTATCAATTCCCATTTTGGTGTGTGGCTACATCTAGGTGTGACAAAGGTTCCTATGGGAAATTGGTTTACCACACTAAAATTCAAGATGGCTGCCATCATATACATAGGTTTAAGTGTGTGTGTGTGTGTGTGTGTGTGTGGGGGGGGGGGGGTGATCTGGCCACCCCAATCATTTCACTAAACTTTGCTTTCTAGTTTTTATATTGCATACAAAGATAGTTTCTTCAAATTGATTGGGTTTGACTTTGGGGTGGCCAAAGAATAATCAAAGGTGGCTTCGGCCACCATTGGTCAATCCCTAGCTCTGCCTTGAATATGTTGCACCAAAAAACATTAAGGTTTAATAAAATTCCCTGTTCAGTTCCACTTCAGAAAAACACACATCTCCAAAACTACAAACATTCAATGTTCAAATCCTCAATCGTCGGAGGAGATCAGCGTGCCCCTTGTTTGAACTTGGGATACATCAAGTTAAAATCGTACAAATGTTTGTTCCTTGGTGCACTAAGATGTCCTCCTTGCTGCTCCCAGGGATCAGTCCAATGTGCGGCGGATGCATACAGCGGTGAAGCTGAATGAAGTAATAGTCAACAGATCGCACGATGCCCGATTAGTGCTGCTCAACATGCCAGGTCCACCTCGCATTGCGGATGGAGATGAAAACTGTATCCTTTTTTTTTTATTAGGGTCAACAAATCTACTTATTGCTGGAGTTAGCAAGCAGAGTGTAAACTATTCTTTTTTGTTGTTGTAACTTTTTTAACTTGCTACTCAGATATGGAGTTCCTGGAAGTGTTGACGGAGGGTTTGGAAAGAGTGCTGCTGGTGAGAGGAGGAGGGCGGGAGGTCATTACCATCTACTCATGACCTGTCAGTAATTATGAAGTAGAGGATTCGACCACGTACATTCCACCTCGGGAAGAGCATCAGCGCTTGTCTTCACTTCACGACGGTTCAACAGAATTTGTTTTGTATGTATGAACTTTTGAGTGCAAAAGGGGTTCATTCTATTCTTGTAGAATAATAATACTCAAACGAACACTTTTTCCCTAAGAATTCTGTTTGTAAACAAGCAAAGTTTGATAGTTATTTTCTTGTAAAATACAACAGGTGAAACAGAGTACTAGTATGTTGAACATTACTAGAACATTATATTAATAGTGCAATAGAACATCTTCAAATATCACATTATATTATTTGTCCACAACTTTAGAAACAGAGTCACCATCAATTTAAGAGATGGCAACAAACCTATATGGATGATTATTTAGTTTTATACAGATTTATTGTCCCCTAAGATTATTCAATCTCCACTGATAGCAGTATTTATAAAGTATAAACTTCTGAAGGATTAGGTAAGTTAAAGACGTGTTTTTTGCTTCAACCTTCATATCATTCATTACCTCCTGAAAACAGTACTTTTTTTATTTATTTATAAAGCTATATATTGCAAATTGGTGTCATGCTACATTTAAATGCAAATGAAGGCATGTAAGAATTAGGAAGCCACACGTTTATTTTATTTTATTTTTGGCCTTATTCTATTTGAACCTTTATTCTGAGACTGCTATGCTTTGTGCTGTGAACAAACACAACAGTTTCTGTGTTTAGTAACAACATTCTTATCACCTTACCAGAGTTTGATTAAATAACAGTGTATTTCACAGGCATGTTTTTATTTATTATTTATATAATTTATTTTCCAGATTTCAAATTAAAGGTTATACAGTTACTGAAAGAAACCCACAAATGCTAAGTGTTGGGTGTTTTGACACAAACTCCAGTTTGTACATTTGGGTGACATTAATTTGGGTGTTTTTAAAGATTTATATTTTTGGAAGAAGATCTATTTTTTTCAATTAAAATGAGGAGTGGGGATATTTGACCTTTTAGTAGTTTAATTTGTACTATTATTTTACATACTTGTAAAGTTTATTCATCAGTAAAAACATGGCTTTATTTAAATAATTTTCTCTTTAAAGTTTTTGTAATATCAGACCAGTTTATTATAATCTTTATATTGATTTTCTTAATACTGGATTTTGTAATTGTCAAAGCGTATTTACATAATAAACATATTGGCAGTTTTTTTTTTATGGTACTTTAAACTTTTTTTTTTTTCAGTTTTTGACATTCTAACTGCTCATTCAGTGTTTTAGTTTGTGACATGAAGCTAAACTAATATCTGCTCCAGATATATTTTCACACGTTGTAAGACTTTATGTAAAACTGATCTTTTTTTCTGCCAGTATACGTTACTGGGCAAGTATTAAGCAGTTTTGAAGAAAAGAAAAAACAATAAAATATGAGTATTTTCACAAAAATGGATTGTAATTTATTGTTTATTTGCTAGATGAGAAAATAGAAGCAAAATCTAAACCACATCAAAAGTTTTTTTTTTGTTTGTTTTTTTGCATTCAGTTTGCATTGATAAAAACTGTTATGGTTTTTGTAATAGCATCCTCAGTTTACACCATTAATTTCACAACTTCTGCCCAGCATGGAGCACACCAGAAAGATGTTTGTTTTGTGACTGCATGTTTGTACAAGCCAAAAGTGTTGAAGCACACTGTAGGAACTGCAAACTGCAGGCTGGAGTGGGGGGTCCACTCTAACCACTGACTGTTGCAAGCAATCTATTTTTGGTTTGGTTTGTTTGTGATATTCCTATAGTTTTGTTAGCAAAAAATCTTACATTTAATATTATCTTAAAAGAAATGACATCAAGTTAGAAGTCTGGCATTTTGTTTATGATTGCATCAAAGCCCTGTGGCTCTAGGAAGATCAACATTACCATTTCAGAGTAATCTTATCTAAGAAGATCTGTATCAGCCGTGTTGCCACTAAGTGCAAATTCTTTTACAGGAAAAGTTTTCATGTCTGTTCTGAGTAACCGCTGTTCTAAACTTGAAATGTAGTTGCATTGTGCATTTCAGCTGAGAAAAAAAAAACAAGATAATGTTTTGCAGGTTTAGGATCAGCAAAACATTTTTGCACTGGCTAGTCTTTATATATCTGTTTTATATCCACCACTACCACGTCTCTCCCCCGTTTTGTTGAAATGCTGCAATTAATGCAATTATATTACTGACTGGGTGATACATTATTAGTTTACTATATCTAATGAGCTCCATTTGTTCCACTGAGGCTCCTCACTGGCCAACAATAAAACACAAATCATGAAGCACTTGACGTTCAATTCTTTAATTGTATTTATGCATATTCTGCATATTTTATATTTTGCATATTATAATTGTCCACTCATACTATGCTAAACTAGGTGCAACATAACATCCGTTTTGAATAAATACATTAAAATAAGTTATGAAATCCTTCTTAGAAGAGGGATTTTATGTGTGTTTTATATGCAAGAATTACCATTCAAATTAATGTAAAAAGAACACTGTAAACAATAAAAAATAAATGAAAAGTGCTGTAAAAACCCACAACTGGCCACAACAAAGTCAAGCCTCCTTCATTTTATAAAATGCTAAAATAAATGCTGGAAGAACTAAATATTGAATCAGTCCAAGAAAAGGCTGGAAAGCAGCAGAACAGAGGTGAGGACAAGCAGGCTCAGTGACTTTTCTTCTGCTTTTGATGGAAAGTCTGGACGTCTGAGGACCAATCTGCAGGGGTTCTGCACCTGTTCTAAGGGGATGTGGGCCTCACTGGGCTTCTGCAAGATCCGTTGATCTCGGACCTGAAAGGCAAAAAAATTAAATAAAACAAGGATGCCAGGCCAATGTTACAACACTATTTTTCTTAAAAGTAAGCACAGGTATTAGTGCACAAATAAAAATGTAAAAGTGGAAAAAATAAAGGAAATTCACAACAACACAGTAATATTTTGGACACAAATAAATTGAGTAATATCTTCATAACTTCAATAAATAATATTGTTGCAGGACAATATTTAGCATAAATAAATAAAAATGACTTAAAAACGCTTGAAGAGATAAAATGATAGCATAAATATAAATAAATAAATAAATAAAGTTACTGGTAAGTACAAAGAAAATAATTGTTATACTTGAGAAGCAGTGAAGGGTGTGTTAATAATTTAATTTGCAAGGACCTGGCACGTCTAGATAAGGCACCAGAGAACGCATCACATAGGAAATGATAGTTTTATTATCAAGCAGTTGCTGGAGCGTCCAAGAATTAGTCAACACAGCGACTGAAGGTGACCAGACAGAGGAAACAGCGTTACCACAGCATGACAGAAACAAGAAGAGTTTTGTAGTTGTTTTGTTGTTTTTCATGATGCATGGTGGTTGTATTATTGGGGCTTACAGGAATCACAGTGGTGCAGTGGTCGCACCAGTTCAAATCAGTTTATTTAGATAGCGCCAAGTCACAACAGAAGTCATCTCAGGAAACTGAACAGAAACATTCATTAACATAAAAAGCAAGTTAATGCCATTATGTATCTGAGGAGCAGACTGCTTTGAGTTTAGCTTCATCCCAGACTCATCTTGAGCAAGCATGAAGGTGACAGTGGAAAGGAAAAACTCCTGCATGAGGAAGAAACCTCTAGCAAAACCAGGCTCAGGACAAGCGGCCATCTGCTTCAAACAGCTGGGTTTGGTAGGAACAGGAAGGAGGAACAGATACACAATGGTAGGCCAAGAATCACATGTTAAGATTTATAGTATCAAATGAAAACTATTCAATTTTAACAATTCAATGGGGTCAATGTGTCATCCAGTAGTCTAAGCCTATAGCAGCGTAACAAACCAACCCTAACTATAGGATTTATCAAAAAGGAAAGTCTTAAGCCCAGTCTTAAAACTGGACAATATTTCAGCCTTACGGACAGAAACTGGAAGTTGGTTCCACAAGAGAGGAGCCTGATAACTGAAAGATCTTCCTCCCATTCTGCTTTTGGAAACTCTAGGAACTGCAAGTAAGTCTGCAGTCTGAGAGCAAATTGCTCCGTTAGGAAAATAGGGAACAATAAGATATCTAATATAAGATGGAGCTAGGTTGTTGAGGACTTTGTAGGTTAGAAGTAAGATTTTGAATTCTATTCTGAATTTGACAGGGAGCCATTGGAGAGAAGCTAAAACTGGAGATATGATCTCTCCTCACCATTAGATACTAGAGGGCACCCAAACATGTTATAAAGGTCGTAGATGCCAAAACAGACTAAAAGCACTAAAATACAGTACAATACAGTGTGTCTGTATGACATGGTTGCACACTGATTATATCCAGACCAGAGGAAGTGACACACCTTAATGACGTGGGACCGGCAGTGTGGCCATACTGCTAACTTTTCTACTCATCAATCCATTTCTCAAACCAAACTGGTTACAGAGAAATGGTATCTATCCATTTAAGTAAACAGTTGAGAGGTGGGGTAAACCATGGTAGGTCACCAGTCCAGCAACCACTCCAGTATCCATTTGCTCTAATGTATTTGTTGTAATAGTCACATGGTCTTTCAACGTGTTCAATTTTATTTCCACCACTCCGTCTGGGTGCTTAACTTTTATTTTTATTCAGTGCGTGTATATTTTTCATTCAAACTTTATTTAGACGGGTTAATCCCATTAACCCGTCTAAATAAAGGTTGAATGAAAAATATACAGTGAGTGTATATTATTGAAAGTATACAGACATTTAACTCTAAACACAGTCTATCATTTATCTGGAAACAAGGCATATAAACTTAAGTGTTCGCCTGCTTATTTTATTTATCCTGAGTTTCTCTGGTCATGGAAAAAAAGGATGCTCTAGCTCACCTTTTCAACGTCTTCAAACACCCGGAGGAAATTTGTTCGAAGAACACCTAACAACTCAGACTCTGTCCAGTTTCTTCTCAGGAGTTCCTGGATTATGGCAGGATATTTTGACACATCTTCTAACCCTCGAGGAAAGCTATAAATTACAAACACACAAACATCAGACGGGGACAAAACAGAAGAAAACATTTCACAGATCAATATTGTATAAGCACTCTTTGCAAAAACAAGTCAGTCACTTTGACAGTTTTGCTTCGATCCAATTCATCACAAATTCAGCATTATGCAGCAGCAACAAACTAAATCCACTTATGCATTATTAATGAAGCAATGCCTGCTAGCAGTTGAGGTAATACTATTGGTATTAAACATGTTTCGGTTTGTAGAGAGCATGACCGTCACGTTGCTAATACAAAAGGACAAAACTGATCTTGTTCAAAAGTCGCCTCCAAAAAATGAGCAGAAGTCGTCTGTCTTGGCCCTCAGGGTCTGTTGTTGTGAAGATTTACTGTGTATATCTGCTCCAGTTCACCTCATACATGTCTTAAGTTCTGCAGAACCCTCCTAATACATTGCCAATATAAACTAGATGTGCTGGTCCAATTAAACATGCAGGACAGAGAGTCCCAAGTATCAGCGTTGGACAACACTTTTGGAGATTGCTTGAAAACAGAATGGAAACTTTTTTTTTACTTAATTTGAGCAGATAATTTATAGCACATGACACCATGGAACATCTGTTGGACAACATCATACATTATCTGGACTTACAGCTATCTGCACGTTGTGTAACAGTATCATGTATTACCTCTCACCACCATCAAAGTCTCCTCCGATCCCAATCGACTCGGCTCCAATAACACGCTTAATGTGATCAAAATGGTCTGTTGAGAACAGTTGCAGCCATCACTTAGTTGCCTGAGGTACAAAGTGTTTTAGTATGAGATGTTTTAATATGCATCTGTTTAAGGAGGCCTTACCTGCCACATGGGAGACATTAGCTTTATCACTGCAGGCAACGTAGTGGCTGTATAAATTCACCATGATCAAACCTTGGTTCTTTTTCTGAAACACAGCACACACGGTGACTCTAAAGAGTCTGAAATAGCAAAACAAAAAGAAACAAAAAGCCTCTTCTATAACTTTCTATTTTTTGTAATTACATTCATTTGTTGTAAAAAAAAAAAATAGGTCAATGTCAATTTTTTTTTGTTTTACATCAGCCTTTCTGGCACAAGTAGAGGCCTGTGGCATGAAGAGAAACATGCTCGCTCAAGACTAATGCAAGGGCATTCATTTGGTTTACTTTGTGTTGTACCAACAGGCAAAAAAGCAAGAACAAAACTTGTTTTTTCACTTTGTTATTGTTCTGCAGCAAATAAAAAGAACTGGATTAAAGGGTTTAAATGTTGTAAAGTCCAGTGGCATACTGTATATGGTTTAATTAAAATGCAATACCAAATGGAGGATGACATTTTTTTCAAGGACAACACTATTAGAGCTTGATGATGCCCATCAAGCTAGAAAACTTGCTAAATATTTCAAAATGGTGTATATATACATTATACTAAACATTAGGAGTCATACAGTTCCCTACATTAAGATATGTGATATTGAACTGTCTCTTTTTTGTTTGTTCAGTTTTTTCTGCTGTCAATAATAGATGGCATTTTTTTACTTCCCAATATGCTGCACAATGTTCAACTTTTCTTTTGACTGAGATGTATTTGTTAACGCTTTATATGTAAATCACTGAACATAAAAGCTAAATACTAAAAAATACATAATGTATGTTTGTAACAGAAGATGTTTCGCTCCTCATCCGAGGAGCTTTCTCAATTCTCGAATTGAGAAAGCTCCTCGGATGAGGAGCGAAACGTCTTCTGTTACAAATAAAGTCCAGTTGTTTTTGTATTGAACGCTTTTTGAATTCATCATGTCCTGGATGACTGAGAATCTTCACCAGCATAATGTATGTTATAAATGTTAAATACAAAAAAATATAATTATTCTATGAAAAACTAACACATTTTTAAGAAGAACACAGGTTTTGAGTTAAACAGCAAAGTTGTGTTTGCTGGGACGGGGACAGCCAAAAGAAAACAACAAACAAGTTTTGAGTTAATTTATCCCTGTGAGAATTTCTGTTTATCATGTTTTATCCAGGTACTCCAGTTTCCTCCCACAGACCAAAAACATGCATGTTAGGCTGATTGGTAACTCTAAATTGTCTCTAGGTGTGAGTGAGAGAGTGAATGTGTGTTTGTCTCGTTTGTCTCTATGTATCCTTGTAATGGACTGGAGACCTGTCCATGGTGTCCTCTGCCTCTCACACAGTGACTGCTGAATATCGACATCAGTGACCCCGTGACGCGGAAAAGAAGAAGCGGGTAAAGATGATGGAAGGATGGATGGATGGATGGATGGATGGATGGATGTCTAAAATGAAGTAGACGTCCAGCTCACAGCTACATTTGGTATTTAAGCAAACACACACAAAAAAAAAAAAATAGCTATCTACACCTATTAATACACTTGAATTTAGAAAAGACTGTCAGAATAAGGCATGTACAAAATATAGAGCTATGTGACTTATGGTCACGAGCTCTGGGTAGTGCCCAAAAGAACGAGATTGCAGATACAGGTGGTTGAAATGAGTTTCCTCTGCAGGGTAGCTGGACTCTCTCAGAGATAGGGTGAGGAGTTCAGTTAACTGGGAGAGACTCAGAGTAGAACCGTTGCTCCTCCACATTGAGAGGAGCCAGTTGAGGTGGTTCAGACATCTGGCAAAGATGTTCTCTGGGTGCCTCCCAAGGGTGGTGCTTTGGGCATGTCCGACTGGGAGGAGACCCAGGGGAAGACCCAGGACACACTGGATATGCTATGTCCCTCGGTTGACCTGGGAACACCTTGAAAACCTCCCAGAAGAGCTGGAAGAGGTGGCTGTGGAAAGAGATGTCTGGGCCTCCCTGCTCAAGCTGATGCCCCACAACCCAACTTCAGAATAAGCGAAAGATGGATGGATGGATGGATGGATGGATGGATGGATGGATGAATGGATGGATGGATGGAAAATATAGAGCCCCGTGACATCCACAATGTGGAAAACACTGACAGAACCATGACATATTCAGCAAATATATGATAAGGCATTAAAAAATTACAATATTTAGCACTAAGCACAACGCTTAGAGTGGAATAATCCACAAACAATTTCTGTAACTAGAGGGAACAACGTTAATGCAAGTCTTGGACTGTCACAATAACAAATTTTGCTGGGCGGTTAATTGTCTCAGAAAGTATTGCAATAAACAATAATATTGTTTGAAATTACAATAACTAGTAATCTTTGTCAAACTTAAGAAGAATTATCAGTTACATTTTGTGTGTAGTACCTTTTAAGACCGTTTCAACCAAAGGATGGATAATGAGGGCACGAGCAGCCTATCTCTTTAAGAAAAATGGGAGGGAGGCCCCTTGACGTGACATGGGCTGTTTCACTTTCATTTTTTTTTCAGTTCTCAAAATGGTGGACGCTCGTGTGGTTTGAGCTCTTTTTCACATAAAGCGTTTTAAAAAAAATCAGTAAACAAGTTATCAGCTTCTATTTTCAGATACAAAACTTTTTAGACCAAGGTACGGGTTTCAACCGTGAATTTTGGAGCTTTGACAAGACAAAGGTTTTGTCTGTTAGCTTAGCTCGTAACTTAACTTCTCAGTTTTTAACAATCCAAAAACGTGATTTTTTTTAACGGTTAAATTGGATTTTAAAGAAAAGAGAAAGGGAAGGGTCAGTGAAGAGCACCGGAGTTGAACCTTTATCATCCAGTGTCTTCAGTAGAAAGAGAGAGACGCAAAGAAACGACAAAGCCGATAAAAGAAAATGAGGTTGATCATTTTCATTTATCATGCGATTAACTGATTTATTGTTATAGTGACAGGCCTAGTCTTTAAAAGTCTTGACATGATTGACTGGAACTAGAAGAACATTGTGTTGCCCACTTACAACCCGAGTCCCATAAAAAATAAAAACAACAAAAACTGTTTCACATAACCAGGCACATTAAGACAATAAAAATGTTGCAATAAAAGAGAAAAAAAAAGTAGAATAAATGGATATTGCAGAGCTCTGAATTTAAACTGACCTCACACTATGAGCAGACACTCAGACTGTCTTGAATTGTGCATACTTAAAAAATATTTTTAAAAAGAACAATTTGCAGGACAGATGGAATGAGCTTGGGGGTCAGCTATGGCCTGGGGGCTTCCAGCTGAAGATCATTCAGGTAGCTCACTGATCTCATGCTGCTAGTTAGCATCATGTGGTCTGTGAACGCTGCTGTGTAGGATGGCATTGCTTGTTAAACAACATGAGTCAAATTTTACTATGGAAATTATGGAGCATACAGAACACAAAACATTCACAATTTACAAACAATCTTTAAAAATAATCAAAATATATTTTACTATCATTTAAACTCAACTATCCTGATTGTTTCCTAAATAAACTCAAGACAAGATTGAAGTTTCTGATTAGAAAAAAAACAATCAGTTCAGCAAATATGAAGGCAGTAATTGACAAAACGTTTATTTTTTCTCACCAGCTTGCGCAGGAGCTCATCGGGTACGTTTCGGCTGTGGTTACAAATAGAGAAGGAGGAGGAGTGACTAAAAATGACAGGAGCCTTGGAATAGCCCAGGACAGCTGATGCTGTGGCCCAAGAAGTGTGAGAGAGGTCCACTATCATCCCCAGTCTGTTCATCTCATCCACAACATCCTGGAAACAACAACAACAAGCTAATTGAACAGTCAGTTACGTATCAGGAGGAGGAAGGAAGTCGAATAAACCAGCAAAGCTATTTGTTTACATGCACATAGATTGAGTGATAGCATCAAGGAAACTCGCTACTTTCCAGTTCAGAGGGCCAACACATCATTAGAAAGAAAAATGCAATAATAATAATAATAATAATATCCTGGTCTGAGCAGCTGGAAATTTTCATTCTAGGACTGTAAAACCACATTTCCTCTGACATCTACAACCTCGTTCACTACCAATCAAATCAAACCAATCAGTCAGAAGTACAGAAGTCCCTCACTACTTCGCGGTTCGACTTTCACAGACTCGCTCTTTCGCGGTTTCTCAACGTAAGATTGTAGACGACACACAGTTGTCAACTTCAGTATTACTCACGTGATTGGGACGGTACGGGATAAAAAGTTAACGGAAAAAAAACCTGGGACAGGCGGCGCCATTTTGTAGTTTTCTTTCAATAAGCCTATACTGTAGCACATGTTTAAAAAAAAAAACTTCACTACCCAGAAACCAACAGTGCTTCCAGCCGCTGCTTTCTGTTGAAGTGGAGGGAAAGTTTTGCAACGCAAAGTCAGAAGTAACAATCTATTTATTAAGCTCACAGAACTGGCAGGAAAGTCACAAATAATCCTGAATCCACGTGCACATCAACCTGGACGGGGCGATGGGCTTTGTCGCTGCAGGGTAGGTCTTTAGAACTGGACCCGAGCCCGGCCGGAACCAAGCTGCTGTTCTGCAGAGCTGGTGAGTAAAATGCTGCTGTACTGTACAATACATAAACTTATGTTGTTAAAACTGCATAGGTTTGAGAGTTTAGAACATTGAAAAAGTGTGGGAAGGGTTTATAAAGCCTTAAAATATAAATATGGCGTTCCTACTTCACGGTTTTTCTCCTATCACGGTGGTTTGTGGGACGTAAACCCCACGATAATCGAGGGACTACTTTGCAAATGCACGGCTCTGTGCATTGTGATGCATGACAGATAACTGCAGCTAGTGTTACGAACTTACCTTTCCAAACTGTGTCAGGCTGCTTTCCCGTTTCAGAAAGACTTTGTAAAGATTTGAGGAGGATTCAGCCCTGCACCAAAAAGCTATCTGTTAACACCACAAATTATTATTATTTTTTAAATAACACCTTCATGATTAAATATGTATCTCATCTTGAATGTTGGTGTTTCAGTACACTAAAATGTGCTTCATGTGTTACCAGGGAGTATTGCAGGAGTGTGTGAGGGCCATGGAGCGGACTCCAAGCTGGTAAAACATCCTCAGAGCAGGAAGACTGCTGTCAATAGAGTGGCCTCCTTCAATGCTTATCAGACAGGCTATCTTATGCCTCATCTCTGAATCTTTAAGCCCTGCAAAGACACAAACACGCACATTTAAGATGATTGCTTTCCCTTTAAACAAAGAGTATGTTTGAGGTTCGACCATGAGGGGAAAATCTGCTATACCTTGAGCTGAAGTGACCAGCTCAAAGTCCTGGTACTCGGTGCACATACGTCGGACCACATCTATCTGTTCCAGAGTCAGCCTCACAGCATCCTTCTGCTGGGCCCCACACATGACATAGACGGCAAACATCTGACAAAGAGACAGGGACGTCCAACAAGACAATGGGAGACGCGTTTCAGTCGCTGTGGTGAAAGTCGTGTTGGGGTTTGATCCTTTTCACAGCATGCACTAAATGTTTGTTTTAACTCACGCAGGCGCAAACAGTGGAACAATCTATATGTTAAAGCACACCGGTGCCACGCTGCTTGGGTTTTACCATACCTGTGCCTGAACATGGCCAGCTCGGAGGCGGGAGATGTCTGTGGCCACTTTGCTGACATGATTAAGATTAATTTGACTTAGGTTATTGTTGTGAAGGATTCTCAGCTTGAGAGCCAGGTCATTATGCCTGAACAGCAAAGACAAGTGAGAGGGAGGGGGTGAAACAAGGTGGAAAGCATTTGAAATTTGATTTTAGGCAATAAATTAGATGAATGAAAGCTCTGATCTGGAGAGGCAATATGTGCCTCCATTACCCATCAATGAGAGGATATTTGGACATCAGCTCGAGCGCCCTGTCGTGTTCAGAGTATCCAGAAATGAGGTGGCACAGGCTGAATGCCAACAGAGCTCTGAGGGGGTGCACCCAGAGGCTGTCTGAAGCTTTTGATGCAGTTTCTCCACAACACATATTCTGAGAAGGAAACAAAAAAAAAGCCACGATGACACAGTTATCTATTACAGCTGAGTGTCATACACAAACATACTTAACCACAAAAAACATCTAAATTACAACTAAACTTTTTTTTTTCTAAATTACATCATAATTTTTATTATGTTTTAAGATTCAAGGGGGGAAAAAATCAGTGACAGTAATGAATTAAAAAGTATATATAAACTTCTTGTCACATGCATTTGTACACACAGGCATAAACAATAGCAAAGTATTTGTAAGTCAAGATAATAAGCATCGCTTGTAGTGCGAATGACAAATAAACTTTGACTTTTTGAAACAATAAAATACATGAAGCATTTTTTTTTTCATTTTGAAAAGATCTGTAAAATGCTGAAAAAGTTAATTTAAACTGCCAGCGATATTCTTACCAGACAAGTCGTGATAAAGCTGCGTGTTGACTTGTTTGCTTTTGCGACTGAACCGCAAACTACGAACTTTCCAGCTCCCCGCCTCACACAAACAGAACAACTCCGAGAGGCGGTTGATACTCTGCTGCATTCAGGGCAGCCCGGAAAATAAGCAGACGCGGGTTAATGCTGACAGGGAACTCCAGCTTTGTTTGTGGTATATTATGTATTGCAATACATAGCGTAAAGAGTACTTTAAAATAGTCCAAGTCTGACTGTTTCACAGTTATATATATATA